ACTTTCCCCAAATTACACAGCTAGTAAGTAGCAGAATTATGCCTCATATCTGTTTGTTGAATTCACCTATGCTCCACTTACTGAAAATCTACTTTATGAAAATTTAAACATATAAGACCAGCCAATTAATTAATGGTGAACATTTTCGTTAACTGTTAGGGAACGCTGTTTCTCCACTCTAGGGTTCTATGAAAAGGACTATTTCCTGCCGGGTGTGGTGGCTCATGCCTGTAATCCCAGCACTTTGGGAGGCTGAGGCGGGCAGATCACGAGGTCAGGAGTTTGAGACCAGCCTAGCCAATATGGTGAAACCTCGTGTCTACTAAAAATGCAAAAGTTAGCCAGGCATAGTGGTGTGTGCCTATAGTCCCAGCTACTTGGGAGGCAGAGGCAGAAGAATCACTTGAACCCGGGAGATGGAAGTTGCAGTGAGCCAAGACCACGCCACTGTACTCTTGCCTGGGTGACAGAGAGAAGCTCTGTCTCAGAAAAAAAAAAAAAAAAAAAGAAAAGGACTATTTCCTGGCCTCTCTCAGTGCCTTCATCATTCCCCTCTGATGATGTAGAGTCCATCTAAGCAGTGTAACTGAGCATATTGGGCTCAGCTCCATTGCCTTCTTCCTCTGGGGAGATGGACACCTAAAGGAAAAGCATTATCTGCTGTTCTCTGCGGGGCTTGCCCCCAGCCCAGTGCTGCATGTAACTGGGTGGGAACAGCTCTTGATTCTGGACTTCAGTATTAGCCCAGCCCACCTGGCCACCAGACTTAAAATTATTCCTTCCAACCCGGCCTCCTGTCTGTGTCACTCTCTGTTTCCATCCTCAATGTTTCAGAAATAGGGAGAAGTGAGCTATTTCCTTAACTCTTTTGGAGAACCCTCCTTCCCCATAATCAGCAAAGGGCAGATTAAAGTTTTTTGCCTTAAATAATCCACAGAGCAAAGGTTGGTTAGAGAAGCCAGGGCAGGGAGATATAAGGAAAGAGGGAAAGCAGAAACCAGAAACTTCACGCTAAGAGTCAAGATCATTCAAATTTAAAGCACTCAGGCTGGGCACGGTGGCTCACACCTATGATCCCAGCAATTTGGGAGGCTGAGGCAGGTGTATCACCTGAGGTCAGGAGTTCGAGACCAGCCTGACCAATATGGTGAAACCCTATCTCTACTAAACATACAAAAATTAGCCGGGTGTGGTGGCATGCGCCTGTGGTCCCCACTACTTGGGAGGCTGAGGCAAGAGATGGCTTGAACCCGGGAGGTGAAGGTTGCAGTGAGTTGAGATACCACTGCATTCCAGCCTGGGCAACAGAGCAAGACTCTGTCTCAAAAAAAAAAAAAAAAAAAAAAAAAAAAAAATTAAAGCACTCAGCAAATGTAAGTGAATGACGAATAGCAATTTGCAACTTGCTTGACCTTCTCAACTCTTTAAAGCACATGAAACAAAGCACACTGCTACCCATCAGCTTGCTAAACCCCTTTAAATGATGGGGACTATTGTGTGGGAACTCTGCTGGTGCAGGGGAAAGGGAGGGCAACCCTTTCCTTACATTCTTGAGTTTTCCTAGGTTTCCACAAGCAGGCTGAAAATTCCAAAAAGAATGCTAAATACATGCTCCAGGTTCATTTATCCAACTGTTTACTTGCATCTCCTTCTGGATGTTTCACAGGCATTTCCAACAGAGCAAGGGCAAAACAGGTCTTTTGATCTCCCTCCAAACACCTGTTCCTCCTTCAGGCTTTCCATCTCAGTAAATGGAACCAACACCCACCATGTTAGATTACTTTCATTCCAGCAAATTTTGTCTCTAATTCTAAAATCTATCTGAATCTGTTCACCTCTGTCTCCACTGTTACCACCTTGTACAAACCAGGTGTCATTTCTCACCCAGGCCATTAAATGGCATCCTAATTGGTCTTCCTGCCTCTGCCAATCTAGAATCTAACCAGCAGCCAGAATGAGCTTTCAAAATTAAAATAATTTCATTCCACTGCTTAAAAGTAATGACTTCTAAATGGACAGAGAATAAAGTCCAAAGCCCCTATCTCTGAATGAAAGTTTAATGTGAGCTAAGCCGGGTGTGTTGGCTCACACCTGTAATCCCAGCATTTTGGGAGGCTGAGGCAGGTGGATCACCTGAGGTCAGGAGTTCGAAACCAGCTTGGCCAACATGGCAAAACCCCATCTCTACTAAAAATAAAAAAATCAGCTGGGCATGGTGGCAGGCACCTGTAATCCCAGCTACTCAGGAGGCTGATGCAGGAGAATCGCTTGAACCCGGGAGGCAAAGGTTTCAGTGAGCCAAGATTGCACCATTGCACTCCAGCCTGGGTGACAAGAGCGAAACTCTGTCTCAAAACAAAAAAAAAAGAAAAGAAAGTTTAATGTGAGCTACCCCTGCCTCCCTGTGTGACCTTGTCTCTTGGCTTTCTCCACCTCATGTGCCATGCCCAACCAAGAGCTTCTTTCCACCTCAGACTCTTTATACTTCTTCTGCTTTTCTCTTCTGAGAACATTCTTTTTTTAAGATCTTCCGGTCATTTAGGTTAAAGTTCACTTCCTCAAGAGCAGCCTTCCCAGACCACCCATCTAAAATAGACTCTTCCATTCACCCTTGTCACTCTGTCTCATTGTTGGTTCTTTTTAAGTTTGGGAATTTTTGAAAGTTTTTTCGTAGCACTTATCACTGCCTGAAATTATCTTTTTTTTTTTTTTGAGACAGAGTCTTGCTCTGTTGCCCAGGCTGGAGTGCAGTGGTACGATCTTGGCTCAACTCTTCCTCCTGGGTTCAAGTGATTCTTCTGCCTCAGCCTCCTGAGTAGCTGGGACTACAGGCATATGCCACCACTCCCGGCTAATTTTTGTATTTTTAATAGAGACAGGGTTTTGCCGTGTTGGCTAGGCTGGTCTCAAACTCTTGACCTCAAGTGATCCGCCCATCTTGGCCTCCCAAAGTACTAGGATTAAAGGTGTGAGCCACCACGCCTGGCCATCCTGATTATCTAATTGTTTACTTCTTTTTTTGTTTTGTTTTGTTTTTTCTTTTCTTTTTTTTTTTTTTTTTTTTTTTGAGACGGAGTCTTGCTCTGTCGCCCAGGCTGGGGTGCAGTGGCCGGATCTCAGCTCACTGCAAGCTCCGCCTCCCGGGTTTACGCCATTCTCCTGCCTCAGCCTCCCGAGTAGCTGGGACTACAGGCGCCCGCCACCTCGCCCGGCTAGTTTTTTGTATTTTTTAGTAGAGACAGGGTTTCACCGTGTTAGCCAGGATGGTCTCGATCTCCTGACCTCGTGATCCGCCCGTCTCGGCCTCCCAAAGTGCTGGGATTACAGGCTTGAGCCACCGCACCCGGCCTTGTTTTGTTTTTTCAAGACAGTCTCACTCTGTAGCCCAGGCTGGAGTGCAGGGCCGTGATCTCCACTCACTGCAACCTCCGCCTCCCAAGTCCTGGTTCAAGCAGTTCTCCTCCCTCAGCCTCCTCGAATAGCTGGGATTACAGGCATGCACCACCATGCCCAGCTAACTTTTATATTTTTAGTAGAGCTGGGGTTTCATAATGTTGGCCAGGATGGTCTTGAACTCCTGGCCCCAAGTGACCCGCCAGCCTCGGCCTCCCAAAGTGCTGGCATTACAGGTGTGAGCCACCATGCCCGGCCTACTTTTTGTTTTTTGAGACAGGGTGGCGTTCTGTCACCCAGACTAGAGTGCAATGGTGTGATCTCGGCTTACCGCAATCTCTGCCTGCTGGGTTCAAGCAATTCTCATGCCTCAGCTTCCCAAGTAGCTGGAATTACAGGCATGTGTCACCATGCCCAGTTTTTTTTTTTTTTTTTTTTTTTTTTTTAGTATTTTTAGTGAAGACAAGATTTCACCATACTGGCCAGGCTGGTTTTGAACTCTTGACCTCAAATGATCCACCCTCCTTGGCCTCCTAAAGTGCTGGGATTACAGGTGTGAGCCAGCATGCCCGGCCTTTGTTTACTTCTTATATTTATTATCTGTATTGGCAACTAAAACGTAAGTGTCATTGGGGTTGGAATCTTGTCTAAAGAGTGCCTGGCAGTAGAAAACACTCACACATGAATGAATAATTAGTTCAATGAAATTCTGACAACAAAAAGACAAAGGCAAATCTAGACACAGACATAGTCTGGCTCAAAAATACAGATTTCTGATCTGTCACAGCTTCATCTTTGAAAGTCAGCCTCATTCCATACCATTCCATACCCACTCCTTCCTCCCAAAAGGCCTGAGCAGTTTCGAAGTGGCTTCTGTGCCTTCTTTGCCCTTGGCCTGCCTCTGAGAGACAGAGTTCATCTGACTTTCTGCTCACTTCCTAGCGACTTTGAGTTCATTTACAGCCAAAGACAATAATGGGTCTGTAACTCACCAAGAATCCTTCAACCGAGGGCACTCCACCTCCCCCAATTATTGCCAAGTCTGGTTTAGGTCTGACAGCAACTGAGGCTCCACCCTCCATCCCCTCCATCTTCTCCGTCCTCCCCCAGGTTAGGGGAAATCCTCTCTCCATTGTCAAGTCAAAGTGTGAAGTTTGATGAAGCTACTCAGGGCAGAGAGGTGGTTGGAAATTAGGTGGGAGTGATACTCTTTCGTCAAATTAAGGCTTGGATATTACCAAGAAGTAGGATCAAAATTACATCAGCCAGAGAAATATAAATCCATTAGACTAGATGAGGATCTTTAAAATGAGAAAAAGTTGCAGCCATGGAGTAGAAGACCCTCTCATTCCCTCTTCCCAAACCTTGAGAGTAGAACTTCACCGCCATGAAAAGTCTATGGATGCTGAGACCTGTGCACCCCTTCTCCCTGAGGCAGGCCTACAGAATTGGGCATGAAACGGCAAAGGATGGCCTCTGCTTCCACCACCATCAGAAATGTTACATTTTCACCAGTGCACCATAATGTAGCAGTATCTCATTGTGAGGTATCACCTGGAGTTCTTCATCTCATGACCAAGAAAATTAAGGAGCGTGGATGCAAAGGGTGAAGTTGCAGCAAAAGTTTAATAAGCAAAGGAAGAAAGCTCTCCACAGTGGAGAGCGGACCCGGAAGAGGGTTGCTGTTTTTACAGGTGACTGCAAAGGCTTTTATAAGAAACTGGTGAGGACTGGGCATCTCATTTGCATAAGATATGAATTTCTGGTAGCTCCACCTCATCCTTCTAGTGTGAGTGTGGGCCCTTAGCTAAAGTTTTACTCCGTATTGCTTTGTTCCCTTTACTGCGCATGTGTTAGGGGATGGAATTTTCTACTGCATGCATATCTGGGCAAGTCATCTCTGTAGGCTTTTATATCTGTGTGGCTGTTGGATGTCTTAGGCAAGGCCCCCTGTGCAGATCTCCTTATCTGTGCCTGCAGCTTGATTTTTTCAGGCCGTTCTTTTGTTTGAAATAATTTAACCAAAGACCCACCCTAACTGATGCCTGAAAGGTTTCTTCCTTTCTCCTCTCGCAGTATCTTCCCTTGTAGACTACATCAATGTTGAAATGTTCTTGCTAAAAAGGATGCAGGGAGAAAGACAAAGTTATAAAGTAGGCATCCACAATTTTTCCATCTTGCCCCACTCCCCAGTCTAAATGAGGGGAAAAAAAATTGGCGGGGTCTCCAGCCCTGTCTGAAGTAGGCATCCAGTATTCTGCCAGGTCAATTGCTGCAATGGAAAGCATGACCTCAAGTTTTGTCAGATGCACCAAATTTTCAAGAGAAAAGCCAGAGAGCTGAATATTTGTGTGAAATTTCCTAATTTTTAAAAGTTGGCAATTGCATCAAATTAGGATTATACTCCACTAAATATAACATAAAATCGAAAAGAACATGCAGCATAAATGAGAGAGAAATGTTTTCCTTCATTAGAGGCAGTTCAGTGGCTCCACAGAGATCAGGGATCCAGGTTCCTTCCAGCCTTCTGCTCTATCATTCCTAGGGGGTGACCTTTATCTTCATGGCCCAGTGTGGCTGCAAGAGCTCTAGCATCCAACTTCCCAGCAGAAGGATGGAGGACTGGCTGGAAAAACAAGGAGACACAGGGTATGCTTCAGGTATGTTTTAAGGGAACTGCCGCAAAACACATCTGCTTCCATCTTATTGGCTAGAACTTAGCTGCATGGTGACAGCTAATTGCAAAGGAAGCTGGGAAATGTAGTCTCTATTTCAGAGGCGCTTTCTATAGGGAATAAAGGGAGAAAGACTCTTGAGGTCAGCAATTAATAGTCTGTGTCATAGTAACTATATCAGTCAGGGTTCTCCAGAGAAACAGAACCAGTAGGAGGCATACGGCAAATCTGAAATCTTAGAAAAGACCAGCAGGCTGGAAACTCAAGCCAGATTTTTATATTACAGTCCTTCTCCAGGAAATCTCGGATTTTGCTCTTAAGGCTGTTAACTAATTAGATGAGGCCTACCCACATTATTGACAGTAGACTCCTTAAAGTCAACTGGTTGTAGATATTATATCTGCAAAATATCTTCACAGCCACATCGTTATTAGTGTTGGAACAAACAACTGAGTCCCATAGCCTAACCAAGTTGACACATATAATTAACCATTACACTAATTCACAATTTTACAAAACTATGCATACAAAATAGTAGCTGTCTATGAGCAGGGTATGACCTGCAGCCTGCCAGTTTGCAGTCCTTTCTTTGCATGTCAGAGCAAGGGATTTGGCCCTTTATATAGACCTACGATGTAATAATACCCTAACCACATACCCACCATACGACTGGAATCACACATACACTGCCACAAGAGGTCTGCAGTGAAGGTCCCAAAGTCCCAGACAGTATGTAGAGAAAGAGTCCTGTTTTTTGTTTGTGTTGCTTTTACCACTGTGCTGATGGAATGCTATCTGATAACACACTTTTCTGACTCCTTTCTGACTCAGAAAATTATTTTCACTGTAAAACCCAAACCTCAGTTGCTAGGTAGTGATTTAGAGTCACAGGAGGGGGCAGTGAGGGGAGAAGGCAGGGAGCTGGGGCTAAGAAAAAGCCCAGGGCTTTGGCAGCCTATAATCACCAACCATTCCACTCACCCTACTGGGTGAGACTCTTCTATACTCACCCCAGACAGTTCTTATCTGGTGCTCCTCTTTCAAAGCTGTCATGCTGTAAAGTTGTGTTGTCACTGATTTGTAAGAGCGGTTTATATATTGTGAATATTTATTTTTTCTTTCTTATAAGTATTGTAATTGGTTTTTCTAATTTTTAAAACATTGGTTGTGATGTCTTACACTGTAATTCTGTACAGGCTTACAGCTTTTCTGAGTCTATTTGAATAATATAAGTACTAGAAATGTGGCTAAAATGGGCCCATTAAAAGCATTGGGCCAGGCACAGTGGCTCCTGTCTGCAATCCCGGCACTTTGGAAGACTGAGGTGGGCAGATTGCTTGAGCTCAGGAATTTGAGACCAGCCTGGGCAACATGGTGAAATTCCATCTCTACAAAAAATTAAAAAAAAAAAAAAACAGCTGAGTATGGTGGCATGTGCCTGTAGTCTCTGCTACTTGGGAGGCTGAGGCAGGAAGATCACTTAAGCCCAGGAGATAGAGGCTGCAGTGAGATATAATTGTACCACTGTCCTCCAGCCTAGGTGACAGAGTGAGGAAAAAATAAAAATGAAAAGAAGGAAGAAAAAAAAGCATTGACACACTTCTTTTTTTTTTTTTTTTTTTTTTTTTTTGGAGACAGTGGTTCTCACTCTGTTTTTTTTTTTTTTTTTTTTTTTTTTTTTTTTTTTTTTTTTTTTTTTTGGAGACAGGGTCTCACTCTGTTACACAGGCTGGAGGGCAGTGACGTGATCACAGCTCACTCCCACGGTCAAGCGATCCTCCTGCCTCAGCCTCCTGCATGGCTGGGACTACCCACTTGCACCACCATGCCCAGCTAATTTTTAAATTCCTTTTAGAGACACAGTCTCACTGTATTGCCCAGGCTGGTACTGAACTCCTGGGCTCAAGTGATCTTCCTGCCTTCACCTCCCAAAGTGTTAGGATTACAGGTGTGAGCCACTGTGCCCAGCCAGCACACAAATTATATCGCCTAGAAATCGATAATTTCACTAAAAGCCAGAAGATAGAACTAAAATTATTTAGGGTAAATGTGTGTCTTGTATTTCTTAATTCAGCAACAAATTAGTTATGTTTATGCAAACATCATCATATAAAAATAAAAACAATTATAATTCAGTGGATCTTTTTTCGCTTTATGGGAAGCAGGTTTGGTTTATCTGGCTTCAGTGCTTTTCCCTGCTCTTTACTTTTCACGAGTAAGTCATCTTTATTGTCATTTTGTTTTTACTGCAAAGTTCATTGGAGTCATCATTTTTGAAGAAACCAAAAATAGATGAGGTGGGCCCATATTGTGGTGGCCATTTCTCTGATCTTTAGAAAAATAGTTCTCCATATTTGAAAACTAAGAATGCTCATAGAAGGACAATCTAACAGTCTTGCTATTTATAAGACACCTGAATTTGACTCCCATTTGAATGGATGTTTATCCCTGTCAAACTTATGCTTTGGACAGCAAAACACGTAATTTTTAAATTTTTGTTATTATTTTTGAGACAGAGTCCCCTCTTGTTGCTCAGGCTAGAGTGCAGCGGCATGATTACGGCTCACATCAGCCTCGACCTCCCAGGCTCAAGCTATCCTCCCACCTCAGCTTCCCAAGTAGCTGGGACTATAGGTACGTGGCACCATACCCAGCTAGTTTTTTTTCTATTTTTTGTAGAGATGAGGGTCTCACTACATTGCCGAGGCTGGTCTTGAACTCCTGGGCTCAAGCACTCCTCCTGCCTTGGCCTCCCAAAATGCTGGGATTACAGCCATGAGCCACTGTGTCCAGCCGAAACTCCTAATTTTAATGAGAATGGCATCCATTGAAGGCATTGTCCCCAATTGCTTTGTGACATCAGTCCTGGATCAAATGCAAACAGATTTTTCCTTATGACAAATTCTGCACTATAGCCCACAGTATTATATTGCTTTACTCTGTTTTTTTTGTTTCTTTCCCTGAGGTGGAGTCTCTCTCTGTCGCCCAGGGTAGAGTGCAGTGGCGCAATCTTGGCTCATTGCAACCTCTGCCTCCCGGGTTCAAGCGATTCTCCTGCCTTAGCTTCCTGAGTAGCTGGGACTATAGGCGTGCGCCATTACGCCCAGCTAATTTTTGTATTTTTAGTAGAGACGAGGTTTCATCACATTGGTCAGGCTGGTCTTGAACTCCTGACCTTGTGATCCTCCTGCTTCGGCCTCCCAAAGTGCTGGGATTATAGGCATGAGCCACCGCACCCGGCTATATTGCTTTACTCTTAACATAGATTAAATGCCTATTACCTGATAAATTTTGTATGGCACACATTCAGAACATGCATTTTCTTGCATCTCTTGCTCTTTTTCTACTCTCCTTAAGCATTCATAGGCATGCATTTTCTACTATGATGGCTTATAACAAAAATCTGTAATACTCTTACTTGTGGTCATTGCTGGCTATGTAATTCGCTGAGACCAGTGCAAAATGAAAATATGGGACCTCCTCTGTAAAAAACAGGAAAAAATACAGTTAAAGATACTAATGTAATAGGGATAATAGTGATACTGGAGTAACTACATGAGCTTAAACATTGCAAAACTAATAGTTGTGATGTCATAATTTTATATAATACAATAAACAATAATCATTTATTAATGTGATGTCCTGACTACTATATTTTTCTGGCTCATTTTTCTGCAAATTCATCAAAATTTATTCTTTTCATTTCACTTTCATTTTCAATAGATATGAAATTTATGTCACACAATTTCTTTACCAATAGATAAGACTGAAAGCAACACCAGCCAGTCTTGGGAAATATAAAATCACAAATAAATTTTGATAATTTTTCATTTTGTAAAGGATCTTTCTACTGATGCAGCTGTTAAGAGTGTTTCATAAACTGTGACAGCACTGATATAAATTTCTGATAAATTATTTTGAAATATAAATTTTAGTACTTCTAGAGTTGTTGGTTCTTGTGGAATAATTTTTCTAAAGGGACTTAACTCCTTAGACAACTCAGTTTTAAGTAAAAATCCCAATTTAATTTTAAGTATAAATTTATACAATGATATTTTAATGTTTCTGCAGACATAAGGAAATATTTCCTGAAACTTGTGGAGGTCTTACAAGAAACTGAAAGTGGCTTCATAATTTGTATATAATTCATAAGGCCTGTTTATGTATTCTGTCACTGACTCTTCAATTACAAGAAAAAAAAATGTTTAATTATCTTTCTGCTAAACAAGCTAAACAATTGGTTTGTACTTCCTAGGAAAATAGCATTCTTTTCTGTAGAATGTGACAATCTTTAAACTTAATTTCTGTTTCTAAGCCTGAGGTTATTTGCTTTGCAGTGTTGTAGTAGTTTTCAAAACTAGACATTCTCAATGCTTCAAGAATTCTAATAACCCCCTGCTATGCTACGACTATGTTCATGTATACACTTTTATTGTATACATGTTGTACTAATTTACTGACAAGTTAGCGGAATGAGTTCCTGTCCCAGTACTCAGGGTGGAGAGTTACTATTTGTGCAGGTGATGCAGGGCTAAGCTCTGGGAAGGGACAGGCGAGCTGGTCCCTTCTCAGGCGACCAGTGGGAGCACTGCTAGTTCTGGCAATGCCCATATGCAGAGCCCTTTCCTATCTTTGGAGCCACAGCCACCACTCTCCTGACTGTTACTTCTGCTGCTGCCACCATTACCACTGCAACTGGGCCCAGGTACTGGCTCAGCTGCACTCTGGACTGCCCTGAATCATGCACACATGCATGCCTTCCTGGCTGGGGTGTTTCCACTGCTCATGTGCATGCTTCATTGTCTCACTGGCTTCACTTGCCAAACACAAATTCAAAGATAAAATCACTAAGAATTCCAAGACAGCAACAGCAGAGGATTAAACCAAGCATGGGCCCCTTCTGAGAGTGCAACTGCACAGCATATGGTCCTATAAATAGTCTATTAGGTGTCAGGATTTGGACTTTTTGTAGAAGAGAGGATAAGGTGACAAGAAAATGATGGGCACTGACAGATTTCCTCCATGATCTTAACTTAAAGCAATAGGTTGTTGATAAATCTACATCATCTTCATACTGAAATGTATGCTCTTTGAGAGCAAGAATCTTGTCTTATGCAGCCCTGTATTCCCCATGGGACCTACCTCTGTGCCTTCCATATAGCAGATGTTAAGTACATTAGTTTGAACACATAAATTGCTATTCTTCCGTTTCAGAAGGGTAACGTGTAAAGAGTTGGGAACAGGTGGTCCTTTTATTTAAGGCATTAAACTGATCAAAACTGGTATAAAAAAATCTGATCTTCTTGTCTGATCCAGGAGGAGAAATATCATTAGTAAGCATTGTGTTTTCTGTGTTCTTTCCACAAATGTGCCCTGTATAAACTTCCTGAGTTTGGTAGAGGAGAATCCTGGTTTTGCTTGCACATACGGAACATGATGGATTTCATTTTTTCCCCTTTGTTTCTGTGTCTTAGAAGCAAAATCATAGAAGGAAACTCTATAGACAATTTCAGATGGAGGATGAAAAAGGATTGGAAGTACAATTTGGCCATGACAATTAGGTGAGAAAGGGTGATGAAACTTATTAACCTAATAAGCTAAAGTACTTAAAGTAATAAGAAGTAACTTATTAACCTAATAAGCTAAAGTCCATCCTTTTCCATCTATTACTATGGGCTACATTTTGCACTGAACATTATTTACGTTCACTGCATAAGGACAGAAAGGAGGGATAACATTATAGAGGAATGAGTTATTTCCCATTTACTGGATTACATGGTTCCTGTGGCATGAATTTTTTTTAACCTCAAAGATTTTACACAATCTACATGTCAAAAATTCCTGATTGGCTGGGCATGGTGGCTCACGCCTGTAATGCCAGCACTTTGGGAGGCCGAGGCTGGCGGATCACCTGAGGTCAGGAGTTCGAGGCCAGCCTGGCCAACATGGTGAAATCCTGTCTCTACTAATACAAAAATTAGTGGGGCATGGTGGCAAGTGCCTGTAATCTCAGTTACTCGGGAGGCTGAGGCAGGAGAATCGCTTGAACCCGGGAGACAGAGGTTGCACTGAGCCGAGATCCCACCACTGCACTCCAGTCTGGGCGTCTTGGGAAAAAAAAATTCATGATCACTAGTCATGCTATTAATTAATAGCAGATCACAGGATTATAGGTCTAGATGTGAGGAAGCAAGAAATCTCAAAGTGCTGATTTTTTTAAGTTTATGGGAAGAACAAATATTAAAGATCTCAGTCTCTAAAGACTAATCACTGTCTTCTTCACCAACAGGTCTTAATCTTAATATTTTGAAGGGTAAATATATTTATTCCAATTCCCACAAATGCTGTATTTCTCTAATAAAACCTGATAAAGGCTGGGTGTGGTGGCCCCTGCCTATAGTCCTAGCTACTCGGGAGACTGAAGTGGGAGGACAGCTTGAGCCCCAGGAGGTTGAGGCTGGTGTGAGCCGTAATTATGCCGTTGCACTCCAGCCTGGGTGACAGAGTGAGACCCTGTCTCAAAGAAAAAAAAAAAACCAAAAATCGAAAAACCTGACAAAAAGATGTGGATAAGATTGTAACAGTTTATGGATTCCCAGACAAGTATTTTGGCTTTCGTTTTACTTCCTCTTTATGAGAATTGTTACCAGATTCTTGGTAATATAAATGCACAATTGGATGCATTTCACACGTGTCAATATAAACTGCATTCAGTCTTTGAAAGAGAGATATTATTGCAATTCTGCAACAGAGTAAAGTAAGCCAGAGGACTAGTTACTTATGCAGATAACAGTAACAGAGTCATATTTTTAATAAATGTTGAGTGTCTGCTATATATCAGGCACTTTAATAGTGCTGGGGATATATCTGTGAACAACACAATAAAAACAAAAACAAAAATGTTTGACCTCATGTAGCTCACATTACATTGAGGAAACACAAGCAAAAAATAATGTACCTAAGTGTGTTGGAGGCCAAAAGGTTGAGGGTCATGATCAACTCAGTATACCACTGGAGGCTATATGAGTAAACAGCAAACTTTCTCATAAACGCAGAATGTTGGCAAACTGACAAACTGCGTCTGCCACTAGAAGGAATGCTGAGAGCAGTCGTGCCCCAAGCACAGTGTTTATTGTGATTAGGTATATCTGAAGCCTATTAGTAATAATATGAATCTGTGATCAATTAAACAGCTGACCAATCGTTACCTCCTCCTCCCTGCTCTTTCTACCCAATAAATAAGAAGGGCTGTGAAAACTCAGGGACTGCCTTTGCTCACTAGAAGCGGGGAGCTCTCTTCTTTCCTGGTTCCCCTTCCTTTAAAATAGTTTCTTTTGTCTTAAGTTTACATTTCTACATCCGTCCCTTCCTTCAGTCTTGTAATGACAGTCTCAAGCAGTATTAGTGGCAGTCAGTCACATAAGTGAAAAAGTACATTGTAGAGGTTTATTTCTACAGAACAAACCACCTTCAAAACCAGGTGACTCAAAACAGTAAGTATTTATTATTGCTCACTAGAGCAAATGGAAAGGAAAATGGAAATGTGTGTGCGATAGAGAGAGAGGAAGAGGAAGAGAGAGGGAGAGGTACAAGGGGGTTGGGTTGCAATTTTAAATAAGGGGATCACCTTATTGAGAAGGCAGCTGTGGTATGCAGCCTCTTTGATGGTCCCCAGTAGTCTGAATTTCCTGGGCTTCTTTGAGTATCCTCTTTCTTTGAGTATGGGCTGGACCTAGTAACTCCTTTCTAACAAAGAGAATATGGCAAAAGTGACAAGACTTTTCCAAGATTAAGTTATAATGAGATTGTCTTCCTTTGTGGGCGCCCTTGCTTGCTTTAATTTCCAAGATTAAGTTATAAAGAGATTGTCTTCCTTTGTGGGCGCCCTTGCTTGCTTGCTCTGATGGAAGCTGGGTACCATGTTGTGAGATGCTCTATGCAGAGGTCCCTCCATAGAGGCAAGGAGCTGAAGGAGGCCCCAGCCAATGAGGGGCCCTTTTCTTTTCTTTCTTTCTTTCTTTTCTTTTTTTTTTTTTTTTTGAGACAGGGTCTCCCTTTGTTACCCAGGCTGGAGTACAGTGGGGTTATCTTGACTCACTGCAACCTCTACCTCCTGGGCTCAAGAGATCCTCCCACCTCAGCCTCCCAAGTAGTTGGGACTACAGGTGCAAGCAACCACACCTGGCTAATTTTTGTATTTTTTGTAGATGTGGGGTTTCGCCATGTTCCCCAGGCTGATCTTGAACTCCTGAGCTCAAACAATCCACCTGCCTTGGCCTCCGAAAGTGCTGAAATTACAGGTGTGAGCCACTGTGCCTGGCCTGGAACTAGGGCCTTTAGTTCAAGAGCCCATGGGGAACTGAACCCCACTAACAACCATGTGAGTGGGCTTGAAGGTGGGTCCTCCCTCAGGAGAGCAAGAGCCCTGGGGACATCTTGACTGCAGAGAATCCTTGAGGCCGAGGCACCCAGCTAAGTTGTA